CCAAAAAAACTTGAAGCCAACCCACCACGAAAAGGAATCTCAAAAGGTCTCAGTGAAAACACGTCGGTAGTCACGCAGAAAGAAAACCGAAGGACATTTCAGACAATCATAAAAGGTAGCTGTTATGGGAACTTACCCATAATAATAATGGAGTATTTCTGACATTATAAATATTGCGCCTCTCAAGAGATATGAGGATGTTGTAAGACGAGGAGAGAGAATTGAGAGCATATTGTAAGGACATTGGAATAGTGATACTTGTCGAAACAACATAGTTCACTCTAACCAAATCTGATAGTCATTACTAATACTTCTACTTCTTTGTATTATATTTCTATTGTAATATATCTTTGTATTCCATACCTGTGTTCGTGTTATTCTTTCATTGGTTCTAACCTTGGACCATCACCGTGGTACAAGGAACTTGGACCATAACAGTAGCAGAGACGCTCGTGGGACAATTCAAAATAAGCTTTTTCGTTTTTCTTATTAGGTGGGCGCATCTTTTTCAAAAGAGTTTATTTTTACACAGTAATTCATTTTTCAAAGATTTTATTTTTCATGGTCTGAAAAGTTGTATCGTAAATCTTTTTTAGATGTTATAATTTCTATATTTTTTACACTTACCTGAGCTTTTCATGAGGTGAACAGAAATTTTTTTGCTATTTTTTGTGTGTGGACCTCCAATAACGTTACATGGACCACCCAGGGTCTATATGGACCTCAGTTGAGAACCTCAGATCTAGAAGCTGATCCTAACTTTTTATTAAGCTTAGAATGAAAATAAAAGAAGGGCCGTCGCAAATTTATAAATAACGGTTTTTTTGTGGCTCAACGAACACTCGTTGCCACTTTTGTGATGCGAATGAATAATCTTTGTCACTTTCGTTATGCTCGTTGTAGAAGAGACTTTGTAACCGCAGATACAATTTATAGTAACGCCGTTGAACAATACTGGTGTCAGACGCCTTCGAATATCACTCGCATTAATAGTACTTGCTCGATAATACTCACTGGAATAATGGGATCACCTGTGTTTACTCACTGTCGATCTATGTTCAAACTCAAGTTTGGGCAACGATATTTTATTTCTATATAACAAGTTTCTTGGTATTTACAGTTTACTTATCTGATTTCGTTGATAATCAATACACACCATTTAAACATTTAAACTGAAAGTAATTCCGAAAAAAATGTCCGTAACTGATTAATAGTTAAGCAACAAATAAAATTCAACTTAAACATCTAGAGAAAACCTGATATTTTTAAGAGAAGCATCTGAACGAACCCACAGAACATTGATATTACAACATGCTTTTATTTTGAATAACATATTCTTCTTAACCTCAATACTAAAATTAGTTGTCTCTGATAGAATTGAATGGCTATAATTTGTTTATATAACATCCTGTAGATATGTGTTTAAAATATAATGGAGAAAACAACTGACCACTGAAAGTTAATCTCATGAAAACTAAAATCATATTAGCTTTTTCCTTTGACATCTTCATACTTATCACAGTTTAAAAGCATAAAAAGACGGCAGAAATTCTGGTGTTAAAGAATTGTAGTTTTGAAGATCCCGCCAGCAGATAAGTTTAGAGAATATTTTGTTTTAAAATGACTTTTAAAAACGGATTTTTCTCGCTTCCTTTTTATTGTAGCTGTGTTCTTTATATATAAATTTATAAGTAAAATGTGACATTCACATGTAGATCCTAATATGAGTTTTGCAGAGATTACATCCACTCTTCAGGAGACTTGCTCTCTCTCTCTCTCTCTCTCTCTCTCTCTTTCTTGTTGTCGATCACTATAATTGCAGAGACGGCTTGCCTTAAAATCATTTTCTTCCAGAAATGCCTTGGTCGATTTATTTTATTTTTATTTTTGATTGATTTGTTTCTAACCAGGTCCCCGTGAGCAGCTGAACAGAGCTACGGGTTTCATTGACGCATCCCAACTGTACGGTTCCGATCTGAGCACCCAAATGGAACTTAGGACAATGACGGGAGGTGAGAAAAATCATTACATCTTCTTTTACTGTTATAAATAGCATTTTTGCCTAATATTTTCACTTTTAAGGAACTTCCTACGAATTAAAAACTAAAAATGTAAGAAAACAGTGTTGAGCTAACTCTGGTCACCAAAGATTTTGACCCTTGGATAAAAAAAATCTTATAGTGAATCTCTTTATTCCATCTACTGGATTATACTCTCAGGAAAACTTATTATTAAAATTATATTATCTTATTAAAGAAAATGCGATTGCCGGTAGGATTCGAACCTGCGTCTCCCTTTGTAAGAGAAACTACTGTCTGATCTGTCTTAGACCGCTCAACAACGAAAAGCTTCGCCATCGAGAAAAAAATCTATTTGACTTTAAAGCACGTTTACACGTTCAGATTTTCTTGAAAGGTATGTCTCCTTAGTTTAGTATCCGAAACGTAAACAAAGCAATTTCTAAAGAATTAATGTATTTCATTTTTTTAATCCGACATTTTTATTACTTCAGGAATTATTTTTTGTGGATACCCTTGTTTGAGTAGACGCCCCGTTTATCTTAAACTATATTCATTTCGTGTACCGGCTTGCACAGTCAAGAAAACTTATTAAAGTAAAACCTTGCTTAATTGTTTACAGTGTAGGAATGGTTTAAAGAGTCAAATTTGTTACATTCACTTATATAGAAATACCCTTAGAAAAGGAATGGATACATTTCTTCTCTCCCAGCTATGAGAAAATAGCAAGGCAGATTGGGTCCTATAGTCTTGGGTGGCCAGAGGCCTACGAGAAGGACAACCCTGAATTAAAAATCTCGAACTATAGATTAATTACCTCACCATCCCACAAATTGCTAAGCATAGTGAGTACGGTTACACCCACAAAAGAGTTGGTCAAACAGGAAAGCGTTCCCCCGAAAAGGAGTGAGAAAGTTCTGGATTTAGACGGTATCTTCATACTCTAAAGCTTTGGTTTATTTTAAAATTAAATTATTTTCACACGAAGTTCGAAATTACATCCTTGTTTAAATTAATTGAAACAACCGCTTTAGTTTCCTTTCTTTTAGACCCACTGGTGTGATATGGTGTAAACGATTTTTTTCTCGGATTAGGTCATTTGCAATGGTGTACAGTAATATGAATCAATTTCCGGGGTGTATGATGAAATTTGTTTGGCCCTGAAATATATTGCAGCATCCGTGATTACAGATTTTTATCATGCCCAGACACTATTATCTCGACTGTCGATTAGTTGTCCTACGGCCATTGTCTGCAATGGACGTTACTCCAAGGAAGCGTACGAAAATTGTAACGCTGCACGAACACACTGGCAGGCATTACCAATGAGCAAATCAAATTATTATAGACTGACCCGGAAACTCTCCTGATTTAAATCCAATCGAGAAAATGTGATCAATCTGCAAGGAACGAGTTTGTGGAATGGACATACGAAGTACTAACATGTGCATTGGGTCATGTTTCATTAGAAAAAATACGAAAACAAAGTAAATAATGGAATTATTCGTTTTGTTTCAATTAATTTACACAAGGGCGTACATGTCGAACTACAAAAGCTTGTTATTATTTGCATATTTTACATTCGAATTAATGAACCCATCTTTCTTATTATAAGAACATTTTGGCGTTTGTGCATTCCAAAATTCTTTTGGTGTTTATCGATCCGGGCAATCTTCTAGCAATTTACAAGTGAATCCTTTATTTTACGGCGGTAAATTGTTCTTGTTCCGCTGTCCAGGTTGATTTTTAAATGTTTTTAGAAAATCAATATGGAACTCAGTATAAAATATGAGGTTTGATGGGATAAGTACTGGCACTAAAAATGGGATTCATAGCTTTCACCAATTTCTGGTCATTAAGTTTTAAAATCGTCTGAAAAAGAAATACATAATCTCCGCAGATTTTTGCTTACAAACTGACTTCAAAATGTTTTACTATTTCAAGAATAAATCCAAATAAATTTAATATCTTTTGTAATTTAGATACATTGAATGGAAAATATATTCAAAACAGAATTCTAATTATGAATATCCATAAGTAAAATATGCTCTTTTTTTTTACTGTATTCGATAAGTGAAAACTCTGTAAAAAATCGTAAAAGATTACAAAAAAGGCTACTCATTGAATAAGATTTGTTAGATCATAATTAATAGAAGCAAGAAATAGATAAAAGTGTATGCAACACAATAATACTCCTGGGCACAAATTGTAAGACAAAATGTTTCAATTTACATTGTTTATTGAAAACCACACTAAAACTCACCATAGTATTGCTAAATGTTCAGTATGTTTTGCCTTGAAGTAAATGAAGGTTTAAATTTGATGGCACAATGATTTAATAACAATGTGCTTGTGCCATATATCTTTTCTATATACAATTTGTAAAGCTTCAGCAAATCATATCTTTCATATCTTCTTGTTGTGCAACCTGAAATTTGGTCTGTCATAATTTAATGCGCGTTCAGATAGATTCCGTTAATGGATTTCAGAATATTTCGTTCAGATGGATTTCAGATGGATTTTTAACTGGAGTCAATCCGCAGATTTGGTATCGATGAATTTTATGCTTATCATGTGCATCGCTTTATGCTCGCCATATTTCCCTTGTTTCCAAGGCAACGCAGCCCGTCATTATGGACTGTTGAAATTAAATTGGTTGCTGGACTTCCGGGTTCCTCGTTTTTACCTATACTCACCAGATTCAAACCCCACTCAATATCTATAGGATATATTTTAAACCTCAGTAACTCCTTGCAGGCCCATTCGACAGAAACAACGATTTATTTACGTCCCTGGGATTTTTCTGTATAGACATATCTACGTAATAAAGCCAGAACTTCGTAGACGTCACCGTTGTTATTCAGACGAAGCGAGGTATTTCTCGAATTTTGGGCATACTTCAGTTTACTAAATATCCGATGTGCAATAGCAGGATACTATGAGTGTCTTTTTATTATATTTACTTTTTCCATTTGAGGTCTCATGAGGACAACGCCGACTGAATACATGGATCTGTTGCCGCAAATGGACACCTACTGTACTTCGCCCGAAAATAATCTTTGCTTCTTAGGAGGTAAGTACTCAAAGCATTTTTAATATGCCACAATAATCGTATTTTTGTTAAGAAAGGGGATACATTTTGTTTTTTTTATACAATTAAATATTGCTCTTTGCTATGACAGCTAGACATTTTTGAATTTAAGCGTAGTACTACACTGGCGTCGAGATCTCAATTTACATCTGAGCTGGCTAAAAGTAGCCGTAAATTTCTTTTCTCACACTTCTCGCTTGTGGAACTCTCTTCCGGATCTATGCTTCCCAGTCAACTTTAATCTTGGAAAATTTAAATGCAATGTCTGTTATGGGATCTTGCCCATAATAATAATAATGGACTATTCCATATTTAATGAATACTGCGCCTCAGGAGTAGGCAAGGAGTCAGTAGTTCAAGTCGTCAAGAGTCGAGTCAGAGGCAGTCCGAAACAGAGTCGCGTTCAGACAATTACTGCAAGACATTGGAATAGTGATACTGGTCGAGACTATATTGTTCTCTCTACTAAGCCTGATTGTTCGTACTAACACTTTCTACTTCTCTGTATATATTCCTGTTTGTAATATATCTGTGTTATTCCATATGCGTGTTCGAGTTCTTCTTTATTGGTTCTACCTTGGAGTATCATCGTGGTACAAGGAACCGGACCATAACAATGTCAATAGCTATCTCTTGTCCTCCTGATTACTCTCGCCTTTTCCCGCTTATTATTAATGTTTCTGATCCTAACTCTTCCACGCCCTGTAACCCCCCTTGTGTCTTAGTGGCTTTACGACCTTGAATGGGCTGATACCGATTTTAAAAAATTCGCATTTTTCTTGTTTTCTTTTTCCGTGTTTTGCTTCGTTTTAGTGACATTTTGTACAAATTAATTCCGTTTCTTTTGTCCTTCTTTTCATTATTTTTCTTCTTTTTTTGCGATAGAAAGTAACTTAATAAGATTAAAGGTTTTATAGTCAATAATTAATAAAACCAACTGTAACTTACTGAAATCATTTCATTCTTCCACAGGTGACGGTCGTGTCAATCTCCACCCATTAATCACGACACAGTACACGCTTTTCGTTCGGGAGCACAACCGGTTAGCCAACCTTCTGGGGGCTACTTATCCCGACTTTAGTGACGAGATCCTTTTCCAAGAGGCACGCAAGTTTCTCATTGCAGAGTTTCAGCATATCGCAAACAATGAATTCCTTCCTAATATCCTTGGTTCTGATTTAATGGAAGCCTACAATCTGTGGTCACTTCAGGATGGCCATTCGAGTTACCTATCGAGTGTCCACCCAGGTACCCGTAACGGTTTTGCTTCTGCAGCTTTTCTTTTCGCACACTCGGGTGTCATGGGTGAGATTTCGATCAACGGGAGTCAGATTTCTTTCGGTTCTCTTTTTTACAACCCCGACATCTTTTACAATGTTTCCGATGCAACCACTATCCTGTACGAGGGACTTACAGTAGATTTACAAGAGGAAATTGACAGGTAGGTAACATCAGATTTTACATGAAAATTTCAGCAATGTAGATCCATTCTTAGAAGTGTCTTCAGTCTATTTTCTGTATTTCGCAAGACGTGTTCGAATAGAGGCTGGGGATCCTTATGGTTAAGGCATGAATCCATTTATCCCTGCTCTTTGCATAATATAAATGTTTGATGGACGTGCCGCTGATCTATCGGATTTCAATTGCATTAATTAAGAATTCTTGCTTTATCCGAAATATCAACGGGAATGTCGAATTAAGGATGGAAGTTTCTTCACTCAAAGAAATCATTTCGTCTGATATCCCACCCCAACATCCGAGCAGAAAAAAAACGAAAGAAACCTCCTCGTTTCTAATTCCTATTTGAATGATTCTTTAATCATTTCATTTATTTGGTTGTTATGTATTGTTTACGTTATATAAACATCACATATTCTTAAATCGCATGACCGTACTTTGCTTTCATTCGACCAAGTGTAAAATTGATGTGTTACTTTGAACGTACTATGTTCACCTAAGTCAATTCAATTATATGAAACTTACTGTCAAAATTTAGATTGACTACTAATCTTATCCATTTGTTTGAATAATGGCAGATTTCCAAAATAGTGCGTTTCAACAAGACGCTGGAGCCATTGTCTATGTATAACTATACAGACATGTTCCAGGACTCTCCATAACTGAACTATGATTGTTGTGTAGCAACAAGAAATTTAGTGAACTCTGCAACATGTCCATTCATGCTGAATGAGGTTTAATTCTGTCGAATTCAGGTAGCAATGGAGTCAGTGGAATTCAATGGATGTTTCTGGAGCCAGTTTTCTTTTAGTCTTGTATAATAACTAAGACGTTATCTTGCTACAACAAACAAGCACTACATGATAAGAGGTAAAACCTGTCTCTAACAAAATCTATGTATTCGTTTCCTTTCGTTTCGTTCGTTTCGGCATCCGTCCGTCTCGGGAGAAGATGGAGTAACGCTGTAGGTGCTAGGCTATGGAGTTACATCGCCCCCTCTCCAGTGAGTCACGAGCCTGGACGGGATGTATGGAGAACTAGGGCTCTCGGCCTTTCTAGTAGAGTCCAAAGGAAAGGATCAACTAATACAGTTTGATACCAGCGCGGCTGCAGGAGTTGCCGGAAAGTAGCACAGAGTACCGTCTATCTGCCTTACGGGCTTCACTCCGGATTTGTGTAGGGTTTACTCCTTAGCCTTTCTTCTCCCGAAGATATCCGCAAAGCAGTGGAGCTATTTAACCCATAGCTGGAGTTTGGTTCATGGGCACCAGGGCGCGTCCACACACCGGTAGACCTGCATGCCGCATGTTAAGTGGGCCAAACTCCTCCCCCGTCCCCCTGTAGTTTAGCCCGACTCCGCAAGGTGCTCGGTTGCCATGTGTTGCCACGAGGAGGCACTGATGGAGAGGCAGGGGAAGACTTACGTATGACACACTTGTAAGGACGGAATGCAGTTTCACTAATGGTCTATAAAAACTCCAACAGAACACACGCGGCATTATAATTTCAGTGACCAGCATCTTGCGCAACACTGTCCCCTAGTGGTCTGTACGAACTTCAACAAAAAACACGTTTCATTGTAACTACTGTGACCAGCAGCTTGCGCAAAACCCTCTACTAGTGGTCTTTATGAAAATTCAACAGGACAAACTACATTATAATTCAGTGACCAGTTGCGCAAAATCCTCCACTAGTGGTCTTTATGAAAATTCAACAGGACACACACTACATTATAATTCCAGTGACCAGCAGCTTGCGCAAAACCTCTACTAGTGGTCTTTATGAAAATTCAACAGGACACACACTACATTATAATTCCAGTGACCAGCAGCTTGCGCAAAACCCTCTACTAGTGGTCTTTATGAAAATTCAACAGGACACACACTGGTTATAATTCCAGTTTGCGCATCTACTAGTGGTCTTTATGAAAATTCAACAGGACACACACTACATTATAATTCCAGTGACCAGCAGCTTGCGCAAAATCCTCCACTAGTGGTCTTTACGAACTTCAACAGAGCATATGCTACTTGCGCAACATCTTGCCGACAATCTGTATTCAAGGCCTCATGAAATTCTTCCACGCACGACCACAACTCAGATGCCCATATTCGCCGGCCCGGGTGAGACATAGCAACGTATTGTAGCGTCATTCATAGTATTCTTGTCGGGATGGGAGGAAGTGTACGGTGTACAGTGCGTTGAGAGAAGTGCTTAGTGACGCCAGCGTTAAACTGGAATAGAATTTAATGCCATATCCCCATTTATTGTATGGTTACTATTTTTAACAGCTGCAAGTACTGAATCCTCTGTGGGCGCTCATTTTCACATGCCGCTGATGTATTTCAGGAAGATACATAATCTTAGTAAAACATTTTGGGGGCAAAAAGAGCCCAGATCAGGTGCTACACCAGGAAAAGACTGTCTTATCTTTCTAGTCTCAAAATTCATTCCTTGGTCAAACGCTAACTAATATTGACTGGAACGGTTCAAATTACACCTGTGGTTTCTTACACTTACTAGCACTAACATGCTTACTGGAATGTCTTATTACCTGCTTGCCACGATGGAGAAAATATAGTAGAAAATATGGTCAAAAACATTTAACCCCAAATACACCCCTGTGCAAATTAATTGAAACAAAACGAATAATTCTGGTATTATTTTCTTTTTTCTTATTTTTCGATTGAAACATGACCCAGTGCACATGTTAATACTTCGTATGTCCATTCCACGATGTCGTTCATTGCAGATTGACCACAGTTTCTCGATTGGATTTAAATCAGGAGAGTTTCTGGGCAAATCTATAGTGCTTTCATTTGCTCACTGGTAAGACTTCCAATGTGTTCGTGCAGCTTCCTTGGAGTAACATCCATCGCAGACAATGGCCGTAAGACAACTAATCGACAGTCGAAACAACAGTGTCTGGGCGTGATAAAAATCTGATGCAATCACGTATGACGCAATATTTTTCAAGGCCAAACAAATTTAATCATACACCCACGAAAATAGATTCATATTACTGCACACCACTGCAAATGACCTAATCTGAAAAAAAAAAAAAAGAAATCGATTACAGCCTGTGATTATGGAAATGACCTTATAGTGAAAGAAAGGAAACTAAAGCGGTTGTTTTAATTAATTTGCACAATTACTTTTCCAAGCAACAGCAGCCAAGGGGTTATAAAAAGTGGAAGTAAGAGTTTAAGTGGGGTGTTTGAGGAAAGGATGAGAAGAACGGGGATCAAGATCAAGGCATTAGTTTGGTTTGGTTTGTTTTACGGCATATCAACATCTCAATGGGTTATTATTTAATGCCGACAATATTTTTATTGCTGGTAATCTCTATCTATAAAAGCAGGATGTGTCTGTGTGTGTGTGTGTGTGTGTGTGTGTGTGTGTGTGTGTGTGTGTGTGTGTAACGAATGCACAGCCACAATATTCGACGGATTTGCACCAAAATTTACATGCACATGCTCCAAGTTAGCAGAAAGGCCAAGACCGACTTTGCATTTCCCAACTCCCATCGATAGTGGAAATAATCGATTTTTTCATGCTTCTACGGCAGTTTGCGGCCATTTTGTACTGGCCAGAGTGAGAGCCTATAGCTGTCTGCCACAAATAGGAAGCTAGATTCTATTGGCCAGCGTGAAAGCCAACAGCTGACTGACACGAATGTTAACTAGCATGCTAGCATGCATAATTAAAAATCGATAGCTGCATTCGTCACAAGTGGGAAAAATTTAAATCTGCATGGCACTTTTTCCAATTGGCTCATTCGCTTGAAACTCATTGATTCTGATTCCAGAACTGGGTTGGGTGTGAAAAAGTATTTGTTGTTAACATTCTTTTTTCATTCGGTTTTTCCAGTTACAAGTTCTTTTTTAAAGCTAATCGTTTTGTGTTCATTTTATTTAGTTCTTTTTTCGTATCAGATTTAATGTTTAGCATAGAGCTTAGAAAAAATTCGCAGTGTGAGATAGGCAAGAAGTAAGGCATGTAGCAACATCAGCACGGCAAAGGGCACTCCTTTAAAGGCAAAAAAGGGCAAAAATATTTTAAGTCAAGTGATAGCGATTGCTGTATGAGTCGTACGATTTCTGAATCAAGCACGGGCAACACCGGGCCATGCTGCTAGTATTTTTTCCAAAAATATATTGCTGGTAATATTTTTTTCAAAAATATATTGTTGGTAATATTTTTTTTCAAAAATGTATTGCTGGTAATATTTTTTTCAAAAATATATTGTTGGTAATATTTTTTTCCTTCAAAAATGTATTGCAGGTAATAATGCATTGCTGGTAATAATTTTTTCCCCAAAAAATTTATAGCTGGTATTAAAGCTTATTTTTACACTTTCATAGTGTTTTGACTCCAGTTTGGGGGCTAACTATTTGCTCATATTTGGGACCCTAACAGGTGCTACCACCCCGGGTAGGATGGAACTGGGAACACCAGCAAATAAGAGGTAAGTAAGGCATGTAGCAACATCAGCACGGCAAAGGGCACTCCTTTAAATCCGTTCCATGCTCCTCAATCTGATCAGAGGCCTTGCTTTCGGACGTAGTTTGTCGTCTTACCCACGACGCGGATGATGTTTATCGTCACACCCATGACGCCAAGGCATCAGAAGATTGACATTACATTTGAATATTTAAAGATTAGGTATTAGGGAAGCAAGTAGGAGGAGGGGAGTTCCACTGTCGAGAAGTGCGAGAGAAGAAGAGGCGGTTACATTTAACTGTTTCGACAATGAAAGGGTGGAGCCGAGATGCCGACCTAGTAGCACGCTTAAATTCATGCAGTTGGGCCACCAGTGAAAGTAGTTCATCAGAGCAGTTGCCATGAAAATATTTGTGAAAAAGGGAGAGGGAAGCCAGATCACGTTTGTGAGAAAGTGACTGGAGGTCGAGATGCCAAGTCAGGATCTATCATATTGCATATCCGTCTTTGGATTTTGTCGAGAACCTCATGATGAACAACGGGGGCATCAGGCGATATATGGCAGTAGTATTCAATGCAAGGACAAATGATAGATTTGTAGATTTGAAGGATGGTACAAGGCAAAGATAGACCTTTTTTTCATTTTGTTTTTAATGGATTCTGAAGACGCCATGATTTTTGACATCTTTTTTCTTTTTTTCGCAATCTAAACAGGTTTATGACCGACGAACTTACCAACAAACTAAGCGAAACAAAACCTGGAGACGGTTGGGATTTAGCAGCTATTAATATCCAGAGTGGGCGCGACAACGGACTTCCGACATACAATACGTGGCGACACTGGTGCGGCCTGAATGTGGCCGAAAATTTCACTTCTTTAGTTGACCACAAGGATGAAGATAAGGAAATTTTACAACAAATCTATGAGTAAGCTTCGTTTCTATCTTTCTTGATTGTCATATACACGAGGGATGCTGTAAATAATTCATGGATTTTATTTAGAAATATAAAGAGTTTTACAATCAAGCAAAACAGATAAAATCTTACTTAATTATGAATCTCTTCATAACCTAGTGGTCAAAAGCACATCGGATCAAATGACGGTTTCTCCTGCAAAGTGGAAAGCAGGATTGAATCTTGCCGGGGAGGGCGTCGCATTATTTGATAAGATTTTCTCGAACGTTCAGGCCAGAAGACGAAATAAAATACTGAAAACGAAGCGTCTAATCAAATAAATAAAAGTAACGTTTAAAGTAATATATATATATATATATATATATATATATATATATATATATATATATATATGTATGTGTGTGTGTGTGTGTGTGTGTGTGTATAGGTAATGGAATGACAAAATAAAAAAGTCCTGTGTAAACGAATTCAGACTATTGTACAGTCTTAAATATAGTGATCGACTGATTCGTTTTTGTTTTTTTTTGGGGGTTTTTTTTTTGGGGGTTGGTTATTTTACTGTTTATCAACCCTATGTGAGATAATTAATGGCCGAAGCATATTTTGGATTGTAAGTATATTTCCTTTTTTCTCTAGTGAATGCTGCATTAACAATTGTTTTAGATAACGATGATTTTTTCTGCTAAATGTCCTAGCAGGGGAACAAAGGTTATTTGCACGTAAGTGAATGCGAGGAATCCGACTGGAATTCGAACTCGACTCTCCGATTTCTCATTCCGAGCCGCTATATCATTTCACTGACTTCACATCCACTGTGTAGAGAGAAGGAGGAAGAAATTAAGGTTATTTATATTATTTCTCCCTCATCCTTATTATTATTATTATTATTATCTCTTAATATATGTTAAAATTTGTATTATTTATTCCCATACGTACCCACACACATATACGCATATATGTAAGTGTGTGCGTGTGTGTTTTGTATGTGTGTAGAAACTATCTGTCGTGCATTAGGCCGTTCGGCTTTAGAGAGCCCCACAGCCGAGCAAGTTCCTAATTACCAATTTAAGGAATACGTGAACCCTCATTCAGCTTTTCTCTAAAGCCCAAATCTAATGAATTTAGTAAAAGAAACGTAAAACAATTTCTAAAGAAATCATTTATTTTTATTTTTAATTCGACATTTTATTACTTCAAAAATTATTTTTAGTGGGTACTCGTGTTTGAGTTCTAGCGCGCATATATATATTAACGTATATTTGATCTGCAACATTTCTTTTAAACATTGAGTAGACACTCTTAAAGGGGGAAAAAGACTGTCCTAAAATATTTCTTTGCTGTTATTTTCAGGTGTGTCGAAGACATTGATCTTTGGACGGGAGGAATTTCTGAGATTCATGTTCCTGGTGGCAGTGTCGGTCCGACGTTTGCATGCATTATCGCCCGACAATTCCAGGCTTTGAAATTCGGCGATCGCTTTTGGTATGAGAGTGCAGGAAGGCACCAGCTGCCAATAGGTACATGCGTTCCACATCTATATAGCTATCTAATTTTCTACATTATCTACCTCAATCTGATCCTATCTATCTATTGATTTCTATGTCTACAAACGATATTGAGAACTCTTCCCTTATAAATACACTCAACTCTGTTTTTGCACGTATTCTTTTTGCACTGTTTTGAAATAACACGGTCCAGCAAAAAGAACCGATTATTTTTTGCACTATTTTTTTTTTTACATTAACACGGTTTAAACAGCTGTCTTTGTATGACTACCGAATGTATTGCAAGTAAAGGACTAAGTAACATCAATCAATTATAATTTTAAAAATGCCGAAACTCTACGTCACATTAAGTAACAATTTAGCAAAGTAAAATAGAATCCAATCTATTTTTCCGTAAAGTGATCACCGACTCTGTACTGTACAAACATTGTATTTCAAAGAATGTATATAATTCCACGTTAGTTTATAGTACTGATGATGAAGAAGTGAATGCACTATCTACAAGTAGAATTCTAGAAGGCCTCTTCATAGCCAATATACGTGGAAATCATATTCTTACAAATGATAACAAGGTTGAACGAACTGCGCAATTCCAACATGAATTGAAAATGGTTATGGCACGTTATGAAGAATCATATAAAGAACTAATAAAAACAAAATCACAGATTTCGTATTCAAAATCAGTGAAACAAAAGAAACACGAAATGTTAATATTTTCAAGATACACATGAAGATATATCGCGATTAAATATTTCCAGTGACGAGAGTGATTTTGCGCCACTGAAAAACATGAAATAGTAGACACGTTTACTGTCTCGTAGTAACACTGAATGGCTGAATGGTTATGTCATATATATATATATATATATATATATATATATATATATATATATATATATATATATATACATGAATCATTCATACAGAAAACAGATATAAGAGTTAATGATTTGTATTATATTAGTACAAAAATGCACAATCTTAAAATTTAAAAATTCAACCTCAGCGTTGCGACCGCACGCTCCAAATTTTTTTTTACAATTAACAATAACACATTTCTAAAAACATTTTTCGGATTACATCTATATTTTCGTTGTCCTGTTATTAGCAAGAAGTAAAAAACAAAGACAAATCTATTTCCATACCTGAAGATGTCTGTAGGAACAGACGAAAGCTTGTAAAAAACTAAAAAAAGACCTTATGCAACTGGAATTTATAAACAGGGATCATAACATTTATATAGAGGTTCAGGGTTAATGTACTTTATTAAAATTGTTTGCGAAGATGTATTCTCGCCATTTAAATCATTAACATCTATATCTGTTTTTTGTATGAATGATTCATGTAATATATATATATATATGAAGTTCAATTTATTTGTATTTAAAAATTAACATTTTTTATTAAATATATTTTAATGGAACCTATCTGTAATTTCCATATATACACTGTATATTCTTACACGGTTTTATTTTGCACGGTGTCTCTGGAAATTATCCCTTGTGCAAAAAAGAGCCATACGTATCCACGTTTGTTTATATATGTAGTTATAAGTCAGTTGATATATATATACAATTTCAATCATCTTGCGCATATATATTATGTGAATAAATGATTTCTAATATTTAAGTATTAGCATCATTTTGACTATACCTTTCTGACCATAGCTCAATTAGATCTCATTTAAATATTAATGGAGACCTACCGGACACTGTTCGTAACATACTTGTTGACAACACAATTATAAGAGCATCATCATCTACATCCAAAAAATTACTAAAAATAATGGAAGCCTTAATAAAGGAAAAAAAAAAAAAAACACTTAATAATATCAACTATGAACATAGACACAATATCTTGACCGTGTTTTGAAAAATGAAAACATTATATAAATACATACATGCAACAAACTATTTCTTATTTAACTATTAAAATATTTCATCCTTGAAAATGGTTAAATGTATAGCCGAAAGCGCTAGGATTAAAAGAACATTCGGACAGTTTTTATATAATTTATCGTCTGAAAAGAAAAAATTATTAGATCGCATGAGAAATTGTATAAAAAACTAAATCAAAGCAACTTGTCTGTCGTATTCAATGAAATGTGCATGAAAAAGGCTTGCTATATATATATATATATATTTAAAGTAAATCACCCCAAGAAAAGAGAGAGTGTCACTAGCACGCAAAGGGTTACAGAGAATGAGAGTAAGAGTAAAGAGGAGTGTTTGAGAAAAGAATAAAGAGAAGGACAGAGATCAAGTTCAAGCAATTGATAGAAAGGGAATTCCACAGAAGGGAGGTGCGAGATAAAAGGCTGTTGGAGTAGAAACGTTTCCTAAAACGTATTGCTGGTAATATTTTTTTCCAAAATATATTGCTGGTAATAGTTTTTGACTTCAAAAATTTATGTCTGGTAATAATATTTTTACAAAGTGTTTCTGGTATTAAAACCTATTTTTAGACTTTCATAGTATTTTGACCCCAGTCTGGGTGTTAACTATTTTCCCATAGCTGGGGCTCTAACAGGTGCTACCACCCCGGGTCAGAGTGGACCTGAGAACACCAGCAATTAAGAGGTGGTTCCACGCTCCTCAAAACCTGCTGATCAGAGGCCTTGTTGCTGGACGTAGTTAATCGTCTTACCTAGGACACGGATATAGTTTATCGTCATACCCATGACGGAGAAGGTTCTTTGCTGGGGGAGAAGTAGAAAGTGATGTGTATATATTAATAAGAATAAACTATGTATGAGGTGAACTGAATGTAACAGAAGAAAACACTATCAATAGAAATCCTCCAAAGAAAGACACCATGGAGAAAGAAACAGAAATCTACCATAACAAACATCAACGGTATTGAAGCTCTATAAAATTAAGAAACCCGAAATGGGAAACCAAAGAAAGAACCGTGACAAAGATAACAGCAAGAAAGGTATTACTTTACTTTAAAAGTATACTGGGAATTAACAGATTATAATCAAAGATTATTTCTTATGGTTCACATGCCTGTGACAGACTTCGTTTATAGGCTATTTCGCTAAGTACACTTGACTGTGATTGCAGCAGGCCCCACACTATAATCTGAGGAACAATTGACCCTTATTCATATATAAAAAAAAAGAAAAGAAAAAAAAAGAAGAAAAATGAAGCAACCTATAGCATTGGTAGACTACAAAAAAGGCCGGCGTGAGTAAGTTTACATTACTCTGTAATCTACCTGCATTTTGATTGTATAATCCTACTTGTAATTTTGACGATAAACTTCTCCAAGAATCCATACTTACGGAGATATCTGTATTACAAATTCAGTTTACAATGAAAGCAGATTCAGGAGAGCTTTTTTAGACCACAGAAAATATTTCACTGAACTTCCAGTCGTTTATGAAATCAGATACGACTTTACTTGTTCTTTTCCAAAGATACTCAGTGATTTGAAATTTTTTTTTTTTTTATGATCCTATAAAATTCTGAAAAATATTTTCTAATATTGCTCGTTTCTTTTCCA